ATCGGCGGGCGCGGGGCGAGGGGGGAAAAGGCCGCCGTGGGCGCCGACGGAGTGTGACCGCGGCCGCCTTCCGCCCGGCCGCTCCGGACGTGTGGGCGCAACGTGCGCGCCGCTCACCTGCCCGCAGCCGCCGCCCGCCCCTGCCGGGGTCCTCCCACTGTGCCAGGCCTGTCAGTTCGCCCTGATCCCCTGCCTCTTTCCCAAACTTTGATTCCTTCCCCCAGCGCCGCTTCACGATCCTGCCCTATCTTCCAGCAAGCTATTCCTCCTCCCCACACCTAGTCCCCCTGCTTCTCCACCACTCATCTCTGGCCAACCCCAATATGGGCATCTCACCTGGCCCCCGTCCCCAGAGGATCTTTCCATCCGTTCCTGTCCCAGCATGCACACGCTAACCTTGATGCAAGCCCTTGTGACAAATGTGACCGTAGAGTCCCCTACCCCTTTCTTCTCAAGTCCAGGGTTTTCTCTTGTTAGCCCCTGGGTTGGACTGGCCAGGGTGTCACTTCTGTCTCCCTCCCCTCCAGGCAGACCATGGACGGTTCCTTCATCCAGCACAGTGTGAGGGTTCTGCAGGGACTCAACAAGCAGCGGGAGAAGGGCCAGTACTGCGACGCCACCCTGGACGTGGGGGGCCTGGTGTTCAAGGCGCACTGGAGTGTCCTTGCCTGCTGCAGCCACTTCTTCCAGAGCCTCTATGGGGATGGCTCAGCGGGCAGTGTTATCCTCCCCGCCGGCTTCGCTGAGATTTTTGGACTCTTGTTGGACTTTTTCTACACTGGTCACCTCGCCCTCACCTCAGGGAACCGGGATCAGGTGCTCCTGGCAGCCAGGGAGTTGCGAGTGCCAGAGGTCGTGGAGCTGTGCCAGAGCTTCAAGCCCAAAACCTCAGTGGGACAGGCACCAAGTGGCCAGAGTGGGCTGGGGAAATCTGCGCCTCGGGATGTGAACAGCCACCTCAAGGAGTTGGCAGGCTTGGAGGAAGAGGAAGTCTCAAGGACTGTGGGTCAAGTCCCCAGGGATCAGGAGCTCAGCGGTAGTCACAGCCCCCAGAGGCCCCAGCTTGGTCTCCCTGCTAAGAGTGAGAGCCCTTCCTTCCTGCGTGGGAAACTTAAGCAGGCTTTGAAGCTTTGTCCCCCAGAGGACAAGGAGCCTGAGGATTGCAAAGTGCCCCCAAGGCCCTTTGAAGCTGAAAGTGTCCAGATGCAGGGCGAGAGTAATGAGGTACTGTGCCCAGCGTACTGGAAATGGGGAGGTGGGAGTCGGAGGGAGAGACTTGACACTTTTCTGGCATCATCTGGACCCCAAGGTAGAATCTCTGTTACGCGGGTTTGAAATAGGCTTTCGCCAAACATAGGAAACTGGCTTCATCCTGCAGCCGCAGGCTGACTTTTCTGTGAATCACAGCTGCCAGCTTCTTCGGATGGAGTGGGTGGCATCAGGGTTACAGGTGTTTCCCCAGAGTAATGAGATCCAGCCAGACTTCCAGTTCCCTATAATACAGAGCCACTGTCCTCCCAATACAGGATTCAGATGCTGCCTGCCCTGGGATACCGAAGGCAACAGTCACAAAGGGACTGTCCTGGGGATGTGCCTGGGTTGGGCCCTGGGATGGAACTGGATAGAGCGGGCTGCTCTGTAGATCCACCCCAGAACTCTTGCCGGTTAGTTTGGTGACCTCGGTCCTCCCTGCTGCCTCTTCTGCTCTAGTGGGAAGTGGTGGTTCAAGTTGAGGATGACGGGGATGGCGACTACACTTCTGAGACGGAGGCTGTGCCGACCAGGAGGAAATCAGACATGCTCAGAAAGTCCTGTGCTGCTAGGCCAGCCCTGAATGCAGGTTCCCTGGCAGCCGAGCCTCCTGAGAACAGAAAAGGTACAGCGGTGCCAGTCGAATGCCCCACATGTCATAAAAAGTTCCTCAGCAAATATTATCTAAAAGTCCACAACAGGTAAACGTTCTGTTTTTCTATTTGCTTTTCCTGTCCGCCGTTCCCATGTTGGGGGAGGGGGCCTGTGCTCCCCATTTCTGGGCCAGGTAGGGCCAGGGGCTCCATCTTAGATTCACGTGGCGCCTGGAGTTGGTATGCCTATGGTCGGTGGGGAGTGAGCCTCTAGCCTTGGGTCCGAGTCATTCATTTCCTCCTCCTGTGAGCCCTCTGGTTGGAGCGGGTATGTGGACACCTTGTCAACAGTTCCGCCCACTGTGGACCTTGGTCTCCAGCTGACTTTTGCCGAGGGCCGAGAGAAGCCTGTGGCCACACGCTGTGGCCGAGGCCACACCTTAGGAGTTTCTGAAGCTTGACGGTGTGGGCTTTGGGCCAAGATGTTAATCTTTAGGGTTGGTGCTGCCTGCATTTCTGGGTTAGCCCCGGGGTGTCAGTGGGGCATAAAAGACCATTTGTCTCAAGCTGTAATGTCCAGTAAGGAAACCAGATGCCACATGGAGCTATTTTAACTTAAAAAGTAATTAAAATTAAATAAATTCAGTTCCTCCGACACACCACATTTCAAGTGTGCAGTAGCCACGTGTCCCTGGCTGCCAGATTGGACAGCGCTGGCTGCAGGGCCTCCAGGGATGGCGCCTAGATAACACGCCTTCCAGTCCTAACACTCTCTAGCCCAAGATATCAGTGGTCCACCATGGCGCAGCTTCTTGCCAAGCCAAGATGGACCACACGCGTTTGCTCATGACACCGGGAAGCCACTAATGACCAACTGGAGTTGGAGCTAGGAAGAAGGGAACCTGTTCGCTCTCCGTGTTTCGGGACAGCTGCTGCCAGTGGAGTCTTTGGGGGAGTCTCAGTGTGGGGGCACTGCTGGGGTGGTCCACATCTGCCTGGCCACTCCCCCGGTGTAAGATTCGGGTGTACGCCCCACCCCCATCCCCAGCTGGGGCCACAGGCTGCTGCACTGACCTTAAGAACTGGAAGGGGGTGATGGCCTCCTGAGGTCACTGGGATGGGGGATGAGGACAGTCTACAGCAGCAGCGGATGAGAGAAGTGTCTGCTCGTAAGGGCTCCTGGTGCCCCTCATAGGCTCTGAGGCGAGAGTTCCTTCAGTTATTCATCAACAAGCTGTTTGCCAAGTAGCTGACAAGGCCGCTGTGCGCGCTTGCGAGGCCTTGGGGAGCTTCCCTCCCAACTACCAAAGTCACTTTAGAGCGGCATGGGAGGCGGGAAGTGCCACAGAAAGGGAAGACGGCAGCAGTGCCAAGGGCTGGGGCGCTCAGGGTGGGGTCAGGTTGCAGTTTGAAAGAGAGGAGATTCGAGTGGCCTCCAGGGAGGTGAGGAAGGTCAGCGCCGATGGCTGGGGAGAGCGTTTGGGCTGAGAGAAGGGTCTGGGGTGGGGCTGAGTGGCGGGTTGGCGAACATCGCGGCACAGAGACCTGGGGAGTGAGGCCAGTGAGGCAGGGGCCAGGCCAGGTATGCCCTCACAGGTCCCCAGGCCTCTCCTCAGGGTGGAATGGGGGCCCTGGAGGGTTCAGAGGAAAGAGGCGACAAGATCTGACAATTTAAGGGCCCTTCTGGCTAGTCGAGGCTGGCTTGGAGCAGAGACTGGGAGCGGGGGGCTCAGGCGGCTGCCCAGGGGCCGGCGGGGCTACACTAGGGGGTTGCGGGAGTGAGGCAACGTGGTCAGCGCTGGCCGTGGTTTTGAAGGTGGAGGCCACAGAATTTCCGGGCACACTGAGTGGGTTCTCTGGGGAGTCAGGACCCGGGAATTGTTTCTGCCTTTGCAGAGTCGTGCGGGGTTCTTGGGTGGCCCTGCAGACCTGGAGCTAGGTGGAGGGGGCGTTTCTGGGCTCCACCTGCAAGTTCACTAGCCCTGTGGTTCCACTAGGAGCCACAGTGGGCTCTGGGTGAGGGTGAGGTGGGCAGTCTGCCCAGCCCCCACTCTCCCTATGGCTTCTTTTGGCAGGAAACACACTGGGGAGAAGCCCTTCGAGTGCTCCAAATGTGGAAAGTGTTACTTTCGGAAGGAGAATCTCCTGGAGCACGAAGCCCGGAACTGCATGAATTAACCGCTCAGAACAGGTACTTGTGTGCCGGCGCAGGTCCTTGTGGGCAGGGGCACGCTGGCCTGTCTTCCTGCCATCCGGGAGGGGCCCCCAGGAGACTGCCTTAGAGGGGACGGTAGAGTCAGGAGAGCTGCAGCGTCCTTGGTTGCCACCGAGTTGGTGCCCTGTATTACAAGTGGGGACACAGGTCCCTAAGAGCAGAAGGGAGGCATTTTGGGTTTGCCTTCCCGGCCCCCGGGCTTTGGACAAGGGGCATTCGGTGGGAGGGTGGGCTGCTGGGAAAGAGAAAGGCCACTTGGCCACACCCCCCACCCCACTGGCTGGCCCATGTGGTGAGGCCAGCCAAACCCCGCCCTTGTCTTTCTAGAGGCCTGTCACCAAGGGCAGGGGCTACAGGTAAGGCCAGTCGGCCTGTGCCCGCAGCCTGTCAGGCCTGAGAAGAGCCTGGCGTGGTGGGTTTGCCTTGGCCGGGGTCCGGGCAGGCAGGTTACGTGTTGCCCTCTCCCACCCTAGCGGCCCCCTCCTCGGGCAGGCTCCTCCCAGCAGCACGTGGAAGCCCGGGCAGAGGCCGCCGTCGCAGGCCGAGGCCCCCGCTGATGCCGGCCCTGCTTGCCCCTCACACTGCCAGGTCTTCACGTGCTCCGTGTGTCAGGAGACCTTCCGCCGGAGGATGGAGCTGCGGGTGCACATGGTGTCCCACACGGGGGAGATGCCCTACAAGGTCAGGCTCAGCCTGTCCCCAGGGCCGTGGCCCCGGGATCCCTCACACCCAGCCCTTTACATGGGATGGTGTCAGGTGCCTCCCCATTGCCAGCCTCAAGGAGCCCGGCCTTCCCTACCCGTCTCGGGCCCCCACACCTCTGGCAAGGCCCCGGGCCTCTGGGCCCTTGCTTCTTTCGGTGGAGGCCGTAGCACGGGGCCCTCCCCCGCGTGTCCTTCACATCAGGACAGGGAGTCTCCTGGCATCGCAGGCTGGGCCCTGCCCTCGGGTCCCCCCATAGCCCAGGGGTGACCGGGGTTGTGGGTGCTGGCCTCCGCGGGTGACTGGGCCTGTTTTCCAGTGCTCCTCCTGCCCCCAGCAGTTCATGCAGAAGAAGGACTTGCAGAACCACATGATCAAGCTACACGGCGCCCCCAAGCCCCATGCTGTGAGTGCCAGGCTGTGCGGGGGCGGGCCGGGCCCGCTCTGGTGCTAGGGCTGTCGCTGGTCCAGAGGGTAGACTGTGTGGCTTCTGCCGTGTGGCACTCCCAGAGTAGCCCCACCCCACCGTCACCCTGGCCCTGCTCCCTCTGCCCGGTCCCTCCTGCCCTACAGTGTCCCACCTGTGACAAGTGCTTCCTGACCCGAACGGAACTGCAGCTCCACGAGGCTTTCAAGCACCGCGGGGAGAAGCTGTTTGTGTGTGAGGAGTGTGGGCACCGCGCCTCGAGCCGAAACGGCCTGCAGATGCATATCAAGGCCAAGCACAGGTGCGGCTTGGCCCGTCTTCCCCCAGGGCCTGTCCCTGCTGCTGGCTCTGGCCAGCGAGTGGGCCGGGAAGGCCGAGTTTGACGACACTCACACTGAACAGCGTGCCCTCCCCGCTGACTGTGGCGCTTGCAGCCTTTCTGGGTTGGGGGCATCTGAGGGATGAGCAGGTTTGTCAGGCAGAGAGGCTGGGGGCGGGGATTCCAGACCAGAGCAAGGCCCTGTACCTCTGTGGGCAGATTTTTGGTTTGCACTGGCTCCTGGCTGGAGCCGGTGCCCCTTTCCTGGCACTGCCCAGGCCGTCCTTGTGCCAGGCAGCTCACTGAAGCCTGGGCCCCTTCCAGGGGCTCGGGCAGCCTTGCTCCGGCCTTGCTGTCTCCTTGGCTCTGGGGCCAGGCGTGCTCCCAGCTGCAGTGGACTGAGGGGCCACTTCCCTTGGTGATGACCTCTGCCTGTGTCCCCCACCCGGACAGGAACGAGAGGCCATACGTCTGCGAGTTCTGCAACCACGCCTTCACTCAGAAGGCCAACCTCAACATGCACCTGCGCACGCACACGGGCGAGAAGCCTTTTCAGTGCCACCTCTGCGGCAAGACCTTCCGCACCCAAGGTGAGGCAGGCCCGTCCCTTCCCTGCCCTGGGGTGGAGGCCTCGTGGCTGAGCCCTCGCCTGTCCCCGCAGCCAGCCTGGACAAGCACAATCGCACTCACACTGGCGAGAGGCCCTTCAGCTGTGAGTTCTGTGAGCAGCGCTTCACCGAGAAGGGCCCCCTGCTGAGGCACGTGGCCAGCCGCCACCAAGAGGGCCGGCCACACTTCTGCCAGATCTGCGGGAAGACCTTCAAAGGTAGGCTGGCCTGCTGAGGCCCTTACCTGCCTCCTTCCCGGGGCAAGCCCTGGGCCCTCTCCATTT